GGGCGTCCGGGGTGGAGCGTGGAGCCGGGCTCAGTGACGCCCGCCTTGGCCCCGGCTCTCGGTGGCCCACAGCCTAGGCCTTTGCACCGTGCTTGCTGCGCTCAGGCTCGCTGCAGAGCCCCGACCCCGGATAAGGAGCCGGTCCCCGGAGCAGGATGCATGGGGAGACCCGGCGCGCATGGAATCGTCTGCCCGGAGAGCGCGCTGTGCTCCTCCCTCCCAGGACGGATGCGGCCTGTCCCAGCCTCTGCCCTCCACGCTGTCCTGCAGGAAGGGAGCCCTGCTGATCAACAACATCTTCGCCGTGGTCCCCGCCCTCCTGATGGGCGTCAGCGGCGTGGCCCGGGCCTACGAGCTGATCATCGTGGCCCGTGTGCTGCTGGGAATCTGTGCAGGTACGGGCGCGGTGCCCGGGTCAGCAGGGCTCGAACCCAGGGCCAAGGCAGGGCCTGGCAGGCGGACTTGGGCTCCGCAGTCCTCCTTTCCTCCTGAATCTGCCCCAGGGCCTTGCGAGCCTCCCGCTTCCCTTTGTTTAAGGAAATCTCTTCAGAAACACACTTAGATACCCACAGGGCTTCACCAGGCATCTTCTGAGGAGGGTGTAGAGTTTAGACTAAGAATAAAGGGCTCTGGACAAAAGAAATATGGAATTTGGGTCTTGGTTAGCAGGCAAGCAGAGTTTTCTTAGTGGTTTCTGCTATTTAAAAAACAAAACAAGGGCCAGGGATTTAGCTCAGTGGTTCCAGCGACTGCCTTGCAAGCACAAGGCCCCAAGTTTGATCCCCGGTACCAAAAAATAAAATAAAATACAAAACAAAAAGCTAGCCAGGCATGGTGGCACACACTTGAAATCCCATCACTACAGCAGGAGGCTCACTCTGGGTTCGAGGCCAGCCTGAACTATATAGCAAGATCCTGTCTCAAAGAGCCAAACAGCGCCAGGAATTTGGCTCAGTGGTGCTGCCTTGCAAGCACAAGGTCCTGAGTCCGATTCCCCAGTCCTTCCCCCGCAAAATGGGAGAAGTAAGCCAAGGCAATAACTCCAAGGCCTCCTAAGGCTCCGTCCTGCCTTAAAGCCCTGGGACGCACAGAAGCCCAAGCTCCTCCCTGTCACAGGTGACCCAGCTTGGCCACAGCTACCACGGAACCAGTGTTAGGTCCCTCGGGGCTGACACCCTGAGAAGCCAGGACTTGGAAGTGGCCCTGGATCCGTAGGCTCCGGAGTCCCGCAGGCTGGGCACAGCCCTCGGCCGGCCCTCACTTCCCTGCACCTGCACCAGGCACCGGCTACAACATCCTCCCCATGTACCTGGGCGAGCTGGCCCCCCAGGACCTGCGCGGGATGCTGGGGACCATGACCGAGATATCCGCCATCGTCGGAGTCCTGCTGGCACAGATCCTCAGCCTCCAGGCCATCCTGGGCAATGCCACAGGTAAGTCGGGAGCGGAAGTCACAACGGGCGCAGCCCCTGGGGCTGGGACACGGGTGCGTGGTGCCTCTCCTGGTGGCTTCTGTTTTCTAGGCGAGCTGGGAGCAAGGGTGTTGCTGATGATGGCGTGGGGACGTGGTGGGGCCCAGGGGACGAAGATGGGAGGGCAGCAGGCACCACACTGATGCCCATGAACACGGCCCACGCCCCGCCCACACGGGGGCGGGGTCTGCATCTGTACTGCTGCTTTACTTCCTCCCTTTCCTTCTTCCTCTTCCTTTTCCTATCTTTCCTTTCCTTTCTCTTCTTCCTTCCTTCTTTTCCTTCCTTCCTTCATCTGGCTCTCCTTCCTTCTCTTTTTCTTTCTCTTCCCTCCCTCTCTCTTATGATCAAACCCAGGCTCTCACACATGCTAGGTAAGCACTACTACTAACCTATCACCCATTACATTTTTTTATTTTTGAGAGGCTTGCTAAATTCCCCAGGCTGGCCTCGAACTTGCAATCCTCCTGCCTCAGCCTCCAGAGTAGCTAGGATTGCAGGCATGGCCACCCCTCCCTGGTGTTCCACAGTATCTCGAGGGGATTTAAGAGACCAGAGGTGGGTGGCCTGGGGAGGCTCTTCGGTAATGACCTTGGGGGATGCTTGCTATCAACATTAGAAGACACCCCAGGACATTTGCATGGGCAGTGCCCTGGCTCCTGTGGCTTGCAACCCACGACACTCCCTCACTGGGGGCTCAGCTTAGACAGCCCCACCCCATCACAGCCAAACTCCCAGGAGGACCCAGCGCCGGTGCCCCCAGCCCCAGTGGTAGAGAGGCCACCTTGTGCCACTGTCTTGGGCCCCCACTCTTGAGCACTGTGCCAGGGAAGCAGCTTCCAAGCGACTGACCACTCAGAAGCAGATCCCCTGCGCCCATCTCTGTTGTCCCGGGTTCCAGTCCTCCCTCACGTCCTCCAGGCTGGCCGGTGCTCCTGGCCGTCACCGGGGTCCCCGCGCTGCTGCAGCTGCTATCCCTGCCCTTCTTCCCTGAGAGCCCCCGCTACACCCTGATTCAGAAAGGAGACGAAGAGGCGGCCAGGAGAGGTTCGAATCCTAACCCCGAGCCTAACCCTGCTCCCCACGCCCCTTTTCCTTCACCCCAGCCCTGTGGGGTGATGTACGCCTGTAATCCCAGGGTTCTGGGAGGCTGAGACAGGAGGATCGCAAATATCAGCCCAGCCTGGGCCATTTATGGAGACCCTGACTCAGAAACTGCTCAGTGCGAAGGCCCCGAGTTCCACCTCAGCCCCCAGGCAGGCCTGATCTGAGTCCGAAAGGCGGGTGGCACCCGGCGCGGGTGCAGAGGGCGAAAGGGCCGCCGAGGCAGAGTGCACCCCTCCCAAAGCTCTGCGCAGGCTGAGACGCGGCGGCGACCCAGAGGCCGAGCTGCGGGGCATGCGCACCGAGGAGCAGGCGGAGCGCGCCGCGGGCCCGGTGTCTCTGCGCCGCCTTGTGGCGCAGCGGGCGCTTCGCTGGCAGCTCGTGTCCGTCGTCACGCTCATGGCTGGCCAGCAGCTGTCGGGGATCAACGTGGTGCGTGCCACTGTGCCGGGTGGGGGTACGGCGGGATCTGCGCCCCCAGGGAGGGACGCACGGGGCGCAGTTGCAAGTGAGGAGGCCCTGCGGGAAGCCCCAATCCCAGCTATGCAGGAGGCTGAGGCGGGAGGGTGTCCAACTGGAGGCCAACCTGGCCAGCCCATCTCAAAATAAAAAATAAAAAACTGCACAGGTGCAGCTCGGGCCAAAGGCCCTGAGGCCAATCGTTTAATCTAAGGACCAAATAAATAAATAAAAACCCACTGGGATGAAAGGAAACCCAGACTTCTTTCACACAGACAACTCTCAAAAAGCCCAGGTGCGGCGAGGCTCAGAGAAGCTGAGCAGCGGGACCCGAAGTCAGGGAGACACAGACGCTCAGTCCTCATCTCCCAACTCCTCCTCTGCCCACGGGCCACTTTCTCTTTCTCCTCCTATAGATTGTTCATGTATTTATTACCTATTTGGTACTGTCTGGTGCTACCTAGGGGTAGAACACAGGGGCAGCTGTACCACGGAGCTGCATCCTGGGCTTTTTAATTTTTTTATTTTGAGACAGGGCCTCACTAAATTGCTGGCCCAGCCTTAAAGTTACCATCCTCCTGCCTCAGCCTCCCTGGCTAGCAAGACCGTCTAAAAAAACCAAACAACAATTCAAAATCAGTGCTTCTGCGGGGCCCTTCTGTTGTTACAGAGTAACACAGCACAAGGGAACTGTTGGGGGCACTGGGGTTGAACTCAGGACATTCAATACATCCCCAGCCTTTTTTATTTTGATTATTTTGGGACAGTGTCCTGCTAAGTTGCCCAGGCGGGCCTCCAGCATGGGATCCTCCTGCCTCAGCCTCCCAGAGCACTAGACTCCCACTCTGGAGATGCAGAACCCAAAGCTAGAGAGTTACAGTGTCCTGACCCACAGTGTCCAGCGCAGCTTGGCTCTGTCCCCGGTGTCCTAACTTTCTGGAGGGAGGACAGGAAGCCAGTGGCCTGGGTGTCCACCTCTCCTCACAGCCCGGGTTTGGGTTTCAGATGGTTTACTACACAGACACCATCTTCGTGTCTGCTGGCGTGGACCCCACACAGTCCCAGTATGTGACAGTGGGCACTGGTGTGGTCACCCTGGTGATGACCATCATCTCCGTGAGTGACCAGGATGCGGCCTCCGGATGGGTCAGGGTCACCTGCTCCCCTGCAAGGCTCGGTCCTGTCCCAACGGTGACCCAGTCCCAGCTGACAGAGGTGTGGCCTCAGAGCTCCATTCTTAACACCCAGCGCCCCCTTCCCCTCCCAACACCACTTCTGCTCCTCACCGTCCTCCTGGCCCTGTGTGGGGACGGCTGTCGCTCAGGGCGCCAGGGCTCCTCACAGCCACATGCCCACAGGCCTTCACCATCGAGCGCTTGGGACGGCGTCTCCTCCTGCTGTCCGGCTACTCCACCTGCTGCTGTGCCTGCCTGGGGCTCACCCTGACACTGCTTTTCCAGGTCTTGCTGCCTCCCTGGCCCACAGTGGGGGTTGGGGTGTGGGGAGCCCCAGAGCCAGCTCGGCCCTCTCCTTTGGAATTGGTGCGTGGAGGATGCCACCAACACCACACACCACCGAGGAGAACCATGTGCCAGGCGTGGTGGCACACGCCTGTAATCCCAGCACTTGGGAGGCTGAGGCAGGAGGATCGCTATGAATTCCAGGCCAGGTTGAAACCCAGGGGCTCCTAGAAGGATGCTGTAGGGATCCCAGGGTAGTGAATGGGGATCCAGGCCACAGCCAAGGGGCCGAGGACCTCGTGGTCTGGATTCAGGGCTGTCTAGCTCCCTGTCCACCTCTGTAGGTCGGGAATGGTGGCACCACGGCTCCGGACATGGAGATAAAGTGTGTTCATGTCGCTCTGTGCTGCCGTCCTCTTCCTCCTCCTGCCCACTGAGTCCTAAGGCCCTGCCAGGCTCAGGACCCCAGGGGGGCTCCTCTCGAGGCCAGAAGCTGGGGCTGCACATGGATCTGACAGCCTGCCCGTCCCCACAGAGCACGGTCCCAGAGCTGTCCTACCTGGCCATCATCTGTGTCCTGGTGTACATCATGGGACACGCCATCGGGCCCAGTGAGTACCCACTGCACCCTGGGGACTGGCTGTTGTGATTCACGACACCCTCGCCATCCTCTCTGGGCCACCTCCAGAGGCTCCCCCTCCGGTCTGGTCCAGAGGGACCATTCTTCAAAGCCTGGATACTCTACCTTTTCCAAAATGCTAGCCATTCTGTGTCACACTTACTCACTCAGCGAGCATTTTCCAGTGCCAGTTAGTGCTGCAGTTAGGCCCACGCCTCACTAATCTGGCCTCCCAGAGGTGCCCAGACTCGGGTCCCGAGTCCCCGACAAGGAGAGGATCCCTGAAACTCTTGTGTGCGCCCCGCAAATGCTCTCCGTGCCTTGGAGCCCACCCAGGGCTCAGGGTCTCACTCCCACCCACCCCAGCTACCAGGCCAGGCTGCGGGTACCCCCGTCCCTGTGCCCACAGCTTCAGGCCCACTTGGGCCAAACCCTCAGGGAAGCCATGGAGGCACAGGGCTCCCTCCCTGGCTCCTCCTGAGAAAGGAACCTGGCTCCCTTTCATAGTTCTTTTCACTTTGGGGAGGAGCCGGAAGTGACACAGTGCCAGATCTGGAGAATGAGGTGGATGAAGAAACAGCGTTGTGTTTTCATTTGTTTGTTTTGGTACCGGGGATGGAACTCAAGACCTTGTGCTTGGGAGGCAGGCAGCAGCACCACTGAGCTACATCCCCAGCCCATGGTGTCATGTTTTTGTGAGCTGCCTTTCTGTCGGATGGTACTTGGGAGCAGTATTCACTACAATTTTATCACATCTCATAAAGACACTCATGAAAGAGTCCTTCCAGAGCTGCTTCAGAAAGTAGCAAGCAGCCGGACGTGGTGGCGCACACCTATAATCCCAGTACTGGGGAGGCTGAAGCAGGAGGATCGCTGTGAGTTCGAGACCAGCCTGGACCACATAGTGAGTTCCAGATCAGTCTCAACTACACAGTGAGACCCTGTCTCAAAAAAACCAAAAAAAAAAAAAAAAAAAAGTAGCAAGCGATGGGATAAGTGTAGGTCTCGCCATGTAGTTCAGGCTGGCCTTGAACTCACAGCAATCCTCCTGCCTCAGCCTCCTGAGCACTGAAATCACAGCTATGAGCCACCACACCTGGCTTGGAGGGGGAGGATTTTGAAGGGGATCCGTGGCTGTGTGTCCTTTACTGTGATAAATTCTATTTAAACATTCACCTTATTTTTAAATCGCTCCCTGTACAGTAGGGCTGTGGTGTTAAACTTCCCTGGAAGGAGCAAGGAAGGAAAGTGATGGCTTTGGGGTCCAGGACAGGCAGGAACAGGAGCTGCCATTCCCGTCTCCCACCACAGGGGGCAGCATTGCCCAGCCCAGGACCTGTGGGTGCAGAATTTCAAAAGACCCTCTCTGAGCCTATGAGGGGACCACAGTCCAAACCACAGGGTCACTTTCCATCCGATGCTTGCTTTTTTTTTTTTTGGTACCTGGGATCGAACTCGGGTCCTTGCACTTGCAAGGCAGGCAGTGGAACCACTGAGCTAAATCCCCAGCCCTGCTGCTTGCTTTCTTTTCCTTCCTTTCTGCAGAGCTGGATGGAAGCCAGGGCCTGGCAAGCGCCGACCACTGAACCACCAACCCTGCCTGCAGCCCTCCCCCATGCACCCGGGCACTGCAGGCTCTGGGGACATCGACAGTGGAAATTAAATTCGGGCCACCCCCAAAGGCAGGCAGGGAAGGGCCCGTCCCAAGCCGCCCCCACGGCCCTGTGCCCTGTGCCCCCCAGGTCCCGTGCCCTCGGTGGTGAGGACTGAGCTCTTCCTGCAGTCCTGGCGGCCGGCCGCCTTCACGGTGGACGGGGTTGTGCACTGGCTCACCAACTTTGTCGTGGGCCTGGTGTTTCCGTCCATGCAGGTGAGCCGCCCTGCTCCCCCACCCCTGCTGCTCAGGCCCTGCCCAGCACCAGCCCTGGTCCCCCTCCCCCAGGAAGGAGGCTCTGAGCCCCAAGGTCCCTGTTGCCAGGAGATGAGGGCCCAGCCTGATCTTCCGTGCGACGCCCCTGTCCCGCCCCTCCAGGCTGGCATTGGCGCCTACTGTTTCATCATCTTCGCGGGCCTCTGTGCCCTCACCGCCTCCTACATCTACATGATTGTCCCTGAGACCAAGGGCAAGTCGTTCGTGGAGATCAACCGCATTTTCGCCAAGAGGAATGGCGTGGAGATTCCGGAGGAGAAAGGAGGAGTCGCTGGCCTGGGGCCTCACCCACCCACCACACTCACGGAGACGGCCCTTTAGAGGGTAGCGCGTTCCGGGCCCTTCTTTGAGAAGAGGGGTCACAGCAGTGAGACCTTTGTACCCCAAGGAACACAGAGTCTCTGGGGGGAGTGACGGGATGGTGGCAGGTGTGTGGTGTGTGTTATTAAGACCCAACTCCTTGCCAGGCTTGGTGGCGAACCCCTATGATCCCAGCTACTTGGGAGGCTGAGGCAATAAGATCACCAGTTTGAGGCCAAATTAGTAAGAGCCTGTTTCAAAGCAGAATAAAAAGGGGTGGGGGATGTAGCTCAGTGGGAGGCCCTGGGTTCAATCCCTGATAGAACAAACACAAACAGAGACACCTTGACTTAAATATGTATGCACACCCTTTTTCAAAGTAAAACTTGGGTGATGTTTGGTACATTCGTCAGCTTTACATTACTGTGAAAAAACACCTGAGGGGATTAACTTATAAAGAAGAAGGTTTGTTTTGCTTTAGTTGTCCTGGGTTCTAACCTAAGATCAGGTGACTGATGACGTTAGGCTTCTGGGAAGGACCACACATTGCAGTCCAGGAAGCAGAGACAGACCCAGAGCCTGGGTCCCACCAACCCCTCCAGAATGCCCTCAATAACCTAAAGACACCCCAACACTGCCACCCTGGGGACCCAGGGGCCACTTGTCTACAGCACAGCATCAGAGAGCCACATGGAAACCTAGGTTCCCACCGTGTGTTGGGTCGAGAATCACAGGAACCAGAGACCAAAGAGACGAAGCCGCTGGCTCCTTGTCAGGTGGCTTCCCCTGTCCCCGCTGTGTCAGAGACGGCACAGCCTGTCCAGGTCAGCGGTCCCAGCACTCAGCAAGAGAGTGAGAGTGGAAGGAATTTGCAGAAATTCTTGAACATCACAAGATCTTTCTTTGGAGCCGGGCGTGGTGGCACACACCTTTCATCCCAGCACTCAGGAGGCTGAGGCAGGAGGGTCGCTGTGAGATCGAGACCAGCCTGGGCTACATAGTGAGTTCCAGGTCAATCTCAACTACATAGTGAGACCCCGTCTCAAAAAAAAAAATCTTTCTTTGGATCCCCATTATGTCACCCAGCCTGGTCTATTAGAAAGTGTTGCATTGCTGGGGCAAAATGCCTGAGATAGACAACATGAAAGGAGGAAAGATGCAGGTGTGGCGGTGCCCTCCTGGGAGTTGAGGCAGGAAGATCCCAAGTTTAAGCCCAGCCTGGGCAACTTAGTAATGCAAAGAGCCTCTGTTTAAAAAAAACATTTTTTTTTAAGGGCTGGGAACGTAGCTTGGTTCAATCCCTAGGACCAGAAAAGAAAGAATTATTCTGACTCATGGTGTCAGAAGGTTCAGTCCATGTGGTCTGGGTCCGTTGTTTTGGGATGACAGCAGCGCAGCGGGGCAAAGGTGCTATTCTGGGGTGGCCAGGGAGAAGGTGGGGGAGGCCATGTTCCCTTGAAGGCCACGCTCTGACGTCACTTCCTCTCATCAGGCCACGCCCCTTACAGGCTCTAAAACCACCCCCGGGTCAAAGGCTGGGACCTGGCCCAGGACGCTGGGGCCCTGGAGATACATCGGATCTAAGCACAGCAGCGGCTTGGCACTGAGAGATGCTGTCTCCAGGATCCCTGCGGAAAGTGCTCTGGCGGCCTTGGGGTTCTTCGAGCCTGGGCGAAGCTGCCTCTCAGATCCCAGACCCCAGCACAGTGTGTGACTGTCGGGAGTGCTTTGCAGTTGCATGACAGTCACCTAACAGCAGAGCTGAAATAAATGCACAAGCGCCTCGAACACAGGAAGTGACCAGGCCCACTCTGGGGGACAGCGACCCTCAGTATCCTAAATGAGTCAGAGAAATTGAATTTCTGTTTTTATTCTTTGTCTTGTTCTGCTTTTTGTGGTACTGGAACTCAAACCCAGGAAGGCGCTACACCCCCAGCCAATTTTGGCTTTTAATTCAGTACTGGTGGGTGAATCGAGGTCTTCAAATGAAGCTACATTTTCGGCCTTCTTTATTTATTTTTTATTTCGAGACACAGTTTTACTAAGTCACTAAATTGCCCAATCCAGGCTCAAACTGGCAATCCTCCTGCCTCAGCCTCCCAAAGTGCCAGAATTACAAGTATGTGCCACCATGCCAGGTCCTGGCCCTCTTTTAAATTTAAAAAATTTTTTTTATAGTCCTACTCTTGAGATAACATAGCAAACACTTTTATTTATTTATTTTGGTGCTGGGGATCAACTTGGGACCTTGCGCTTGCGAGGCAGGCGGTGGCACCACTGAGCTAAATCCCCAGCCCTAAATTTTAAATTTTTGAGACAGGATCTTGCTAAGTGTTCCTCCTGCCTCAGCCTCTGTGATACCTGTGACTACAGGTGTGTTCCACCACACCCAACTATGAAATTGAATTTTTGTTAAAAAAAGAAAATTCCCCAAGAGAAGAAAACTCCAGGCCAAAATGACTTGAGTGAAGCCACTTAATTCTACTAAACCTTTGGAGAAAGAATAAAACCAACTTGACACAAATTCTTCCAGAACTCTGAAGAGGAAGAAAAACTGCTCACCTCATTCTGTGAAGGCAGAATTACTCAGATACTTAAACCAAACTAAAGACCTTGCAAGAAAACCACAGACCAGTAACCCTCCTGGAAAATAAAAGCCCTCCTGAACATGGATATGAAAATGATCAGCCAGCTTTTAGGGAACAGAGTCCAGTATTACGCTGCAAGGGTAAGACACGTCCTGACCTGAGGAGTGTATCCGGGGGACGCAGGGCTCGCTCGGGCCCCCCAAATCCATCTATAGAAAGAACACAGTTCCAGTCAAGCTCACCAGGCTCAGGGCAGAAGCTAAACCCCCACCACCACGTCTGACACTGAGTCCAGCTGTGCGGGTGGCCGGCTGCTGCGGGAGTTAAGTCAGCTGGCGTCAGGGGCACAGGGTGTGGGTGACCGTGGGGACTGGACACGGTACCACTCTTTCAAAAACAGCTACCAGCCCCGTAGAATATGACACACACCTCAGACCCCACACCCACTGCCCAGGTACCTCTGCAGAAGCCCAGCAGCCTCGTGTGTGATAGCCAGAAAAGGGAAAGCCACATAAAAGGGCCCAGGGTGCGAGGGTGAGAAGATTGCAGTACATCAACAGGGTAGAGCTGTGCTCAGCCCCAAACTGCGCACAATCCACTCACGGTACAATGTGATTCAAAGAACAACGCCAGGAGTTGTGGGGCTTGCCTGTAATCACGGCACTCGGGAAGGAGGCTGAGGCAGGAGGATCACCCAGAGTTCAGGGCCAGGTAACATAGTGAGTTCAAGGCCAGCCTGGACTATATAGTGAGAACTGTCTCATAAAACAAAGAAATAACAAAAGAAGTCAGGCCAGAGTAAGAATATCTTGTAATATTTCAACACATAAAATTCTTAAAAATGCAAATTAATCTGCAGTGACAGAAAGGAGATAGTATTCCTTGGGGAAGCTTTTTTCGATGGTTGGTTTTGTTTTGGTTTTTGGTTTTTTTTTCCAATGCTGAACACAACAGAGCTTTCCTGATGAGCCACCCCCCTCACTGTGCTTTTATAACTTTTGAGACAAAATCTCAGTAAGTCGCTGAATTTCCCAGGCTGAGCTTGAACTTGCAATCTTCCTGCCTCAGCCTCCCAGTGCTGAGATCACAGGCGTGCATCCTGAGCCTTAGTTGAAACCCTCATTATCCCGACTGTGGGTACGTACATACATGTCAGATGAAATTGAACATTTAAGTAAGGGAGGCGACTTAACTGGGCATGACAGCTCTCGCCTGTGATCGGGAAGGCTTGCTGCAAGTTCAAGGCCAGCTTGGGCCCAGAGTGAGTCTGCCACGCGCCTGTCACGGTGACCCTAAAGCCTTTGACCCGGGCACTCACGCTTGCTGCAGAGCCACGGCCCCAGATAAGGAGCCGCCCGGGCCAAGGTCCCCGGAACGGGATGCAGGCTAGGCCGGACTGAGGTGCGGGCCTGGGGAGAGCGTGGGTTGTCCGTCCCGGGAGACCCCGCAGTGACCTCCCCGCCAGCTCGACCTCCTTGCTTCTCCCACACCCCCAGGGGCCAGGGCTCTTCTGGACGCCCCTTTCTCACCGAAGCCCCAGTCCTGGGACTTTGGTGGTGGAGGGAACCAAGGCAAATCCCCCCATTCGGTACAGGAGGAGCCAGGCCGGGTGTGCACTGGGGACCCGGCACCCGGCTTCAGGGCTGTTTGGATGCAGGGCTCCCCGAGTTTGGGCTGGGATGGGCTGTGCACTGGAGGAGCCGTGGCAGCCCCAGGGAGAGTATGAGGCCCCACATCCCACTCGCTGCCCACTCAGAAAGCCAGGCTGCAAGCGGGCTGCTGCCGGGCACCCAGCAGAGCCCTGAGGATGCACTTGCGGGCCTCTTGGGCTCCTTTCCTGGGCTCCCTTGTTCCGACTCAGAGCCCCCTTTGGTTGGCACTTCCAGGATCCCCAGACCTGCGAGCTCCAACTCTGGAGACCTCGCGCTGCCCCAGCCTCACAATCCCAGGCTTCCAGCCAGGCCCCGGCTTGAATACCTCTGTGGACGGGCAGCTCACCAACTGCCACGCCAGCGCCTCCCAGGGTGACTGCGCCCAGCCTGCCTGCTTGGGCCTAGCTCTGCCCCAGAGCACATTCCTTGCTGTCTTGGCCTCATTTTCCCATCCGGAGAGCGGGGTTATCTTAGTACATGGTTTACCTTGCAGGGTTGCCAGGAGGGACTGAGTCCCCGAGTCCTCAGGAGCCCCCTGAACTCAGGGTATCTGAACAACTGGAGGAGGTTCCTGCTTTTTCTCTTGCAGTGCTAGGAGTGTACCTGGGTCATGATACCAAGCTCCATCACCAGCCCTTTTTTATTTTTATTTTTTAATTTCGAGACAGGGTCTCCCTAAGTCTCTAAATGGCCCTGGCTGGGCTCCAACTTGGGATCTTCCTGCCTCAGCCTCCCAGAGTCCTGGGATTATAGGCACAGGTGTGAAAGTGCTTTGAAGTTCTAGCATCAGCAGCTGCCCAGAGCAAGCCCGCCACTCCCTTGAGCCATCCAGAGACCTGCACCTGTGCTTGATAGGTGCGGATCTTTCCGTAGGATCTTTCTGGACCTCTGGGCCTCAGTTTAGCAACATTTGTAGACAGTCGCAAGAGCAGCCGTCCCAGGTCCCTGGAGCATTGGCCCTGCAGTCCTCACTGTGGCCACTGGAGGGCAGCATGCTCGTGGCCGAAGTGGCAGGGTTTGCTCTGCAGTGATGTAATTACAAAAAGGGCACGTTAGACCATGCGTGGAGGTGGAGGTCTGCAATCCCAGCGCTCTGGGAGGCTGAGGCAGGAAGACTGCAAGTTCGAGTCCTGGCTAGATAACTCATTGAGACCCTGTCTTAAAAAATAGAAAAGGGGACAGGGATTTAGCTCAGTGGTGCTGCACCTGTCTCGCAAGTGCAAAGTCCTGAGTTCCATCCCTCCTGGCACCACAAAAGATATATAAAATTAAAAATAAAATGAAAATGAAAAAGGGCTAAGGATGTAGCTCGGTGTGAGGGCCCTGGGCTCAACCCCCAGTACAAAAACAAAACAGGGACAATAACAAACTATTATCACTAGAAACCTTTTCGCTTTTGTTTTTTAGTTTTCAAAGGAGAATCAGCTACTTTTCTCCTCTGTGTGGTTTGTAGGAGACACATTTGGAATCAGAAACGAACAGCAGTCACACAATTAAACCAGGGTGTTCACAGCTGCCGAGAAGTTACAGAAATGGCAGTGATGATCACAGACCTTCATTCTCCCCCTTGCACTGAAGACGGGACCAATGTAGCACACGGGGACATGTCATCCTCCTGCCTCAGCCTCCAGAGTGCTGGGATTATGGGCCTGTGCCACAGCGGCCAGTTTAGGAATGAAGCTGTCAGGGATTTTCCTTTCTTTTTTCTTAGCAGCACTCAGGATGGACTCAGGATCTCATGCAGGCTAGGCAGGCACTCACCACTGACCCGCACCCCAGCCCTTTGAGGAAACTATAAAAATAGAAGTCTTTTTGCTTTCATGTACTGCTGGTAGATAGTCCGTCCCCCAGTTGCTCTTCTGGATGCCCCGGTAATAAAGGGGGCTTCCCTCTCACCCCCACCCAGTGTCTGTCCAGACAGCCAGTGTCCCCACAAGCTCACTGTCCATCTCTGGGGCCAATGCACAAAAGCACAGCAAGGAGTGTAGAGGCCCACACCCTCTGTCTAGTCCAAGAAAGGCATGTGCAAGGGCCCTGTGGCCAGGATGTATGTGGTATTGACATAGACAGTAAAAGTTAGAACTACTCAAAGTCGGTGCAGAGGATAAGTACACATGGCAGCAAGTCCCTGTGAGGAGTGGGCTCCTTGGCAACCTACTTGGGACCCCTCCTGTCTCCCAGGAGCTCTTTCTGTTCCCCAATGAGATTTCCTGCTCTTAACCTCCTTCTTCGACTTTGGGGACACGAACTCGCATACCTGACATCCAGCGGGTGGGGCTTCCCTCTGCCCCTCTGTATCCGTGTGGCCCAGGTACCACGGAGTGGGGGAGGGCTTGTGCCCAGAGAGCAGCCAGGGGCCAGCGGTGCAGCCCACAATTAGGGCTTTGGATTTGTTCTCTGTGATGGAAACCACAGCAGGGCTTGGAGCAGGTAAAGTGCATGATGTTTTGCATTTTAAGGGAATAAACAGTGATAAAGAATAATGAATACCCTTGAATCCATGACCTACCTTCAGCAAGAAGTGGAATTACAGACACAGCAAAGGTCCTGGGCCCTCTCCTTCCCTCTCTCTCTTGTTTGCTTTGTTTTGCTTTGTTTGAAACAAGGTCTCACTATGTAGCCGGGGCTGGCCTCAAACTCAGGTGACCCTCCTGCCTCAGCCTCCCCTTGCTGGGATCACAGGTGTACGGCATCACACCCAGTCACCTGACCTTGTGGTTTGGGGTGGATATACCCCAAGTCCCTGCAAGGTGGTCCAGTATCTTCTGACAGGACACTAGTCTTACTTGACTTGTTGCTTTCTGGCCTGAAGGATTATAGAAGAATCTTCCTTTTCCTACTCTAAATCCTGGAAATCCTCCCTCCCTTAGTCTCCACCTCTCCCCTGTGCCCTCTGGAGCAGGGAAAAAAGGGTACGCATGCGTGTTCAGGGGTATCTGAAGTGGTACAAAGGAACAGGAACATATTTTAAAACAAATTTCCAAAATGATTTTATTACATCTAAATGCTAAAGGAAGTTCAGGCTGATTTTTTTTCTTTTTTTTTTTTAAGTGAATGTTATTTAATAACATGCATAATTTATGCACAGTGTGATACATTCATTAAAGAAACATTATTGCGTGCAAGTACACACGTGTGTGCCAACGTGCAGCTGTGTCACAATCAAGATGCGGACTATTTCAGCGAGGGCCGCGGCAGCCCTGTGTCCCTCCGCAGCGGGCCCTCCCTCCCTCGCCTCCAGTCCGTGAACAGTGGACGCCTTTGTATTTATTTATCTCCTGTGATTTCTTTCTGCGCTGATTTATCGCTTAGACCAAGTGAGTGATGATTCTTTTCTTGCGGTGGCCGCCACTGAGCAGCTCCCGGGCCCCAGGCCGACACATCCGTGCCAATCAATTTCTATTGGCGATGTGGCCTCGAGGCCCCTCTCGTCCCGGTAGTGGTTCCCAGTCGAAGTGAGAAGTCCAGCCGGTGCCCCAGGCACCCGCCACGGGACTCCTCCTGCCAGGCCACCCTTTCCTGGGCCAGTTCGTGCTGCCTGCAGTTAGACCTGCCTCTTAACTTCCTCCAGAGATTCAACCAAGTACTGGATATTGTTCTCTATTCTGTGCAGGTAAGACCTGAGCTCAGAGCCTAGAACATATGGGATAAAAGAAAGAATTACTTTGGCAAGGTCAAAATTTGGAAGGTTCTCCAGGCGTAGTGGTGCACAGCTGCAATCCCAGCACTTGGGAGGCTGAGGCAGGAGGATTGCCACATGTTTGGGGACAGCCTGAGCTAGTGAGTTCAAGCCTTGCAAAAAGGCCTAGGGAAATCTATAACCAGGAAATAAGTCCATGAGTCTATATCCTCTCTGCATAGCCTGTGAGAAACGGGCTATGTAGAAGACCGCCACTCTTTGGAGAAGGAAGTCTCTCACTTAGCAAGACTCTGTCTCAAAAAATATTTTTAATGTCTTTGTTTGTTTGTTTGTTTGTCTGAGACAAGGTCTAGCTGTGTAGTTCAGGCTGGCTTGAACTCACTATGTAGTCCAGGCTGGCCTCAAACTCACAGCGATCCTCCTGCCTCAGCCTCCTGAGGGCAGAGATGTCGGCATGTGCAGCCACACCCAGCAGTATTCGCATCCTTGCCACCACAGCCATGCGGTGAGCCGAGAGCCCAGCTGGAACCTGACCTGAAGATCCAGCGGGATCAGAGAGGTGGGGCAGCTCCTGCCTCCCCAGCACCCCAGGGCCCCGTGCTTGGCCCCAAAGAAGGCGCAGGAGACGACCTGTGGCCTTGAGGACCCCGCGGCAGAGGCGTGGCCAGACTCATCATGCAGGGAGATACAGGGGCGCATGCAAGGTACGGCTGGGCCCGGTGCAGTGCGGTGGGTGAGGAAAGCCAGACCCTGAGCCCAGCAGGTGATGAGACTGTGGTCCCCTCACTGTCCCCCAGACTGTCACCCCTGCCCCAGCCCAGGGGCCCAGGGCGGGCAGGCAGCCGGCACTCACCGGAGCTGGGGAAATAGCGGAAGTTGGCCTCCACCACCCGGCTGTGTAGTGGCTGGGTGCTGCGGTAGCCGTTTTGCAGCGTCCTGTTCTGGTGCGTCAGCAGCGTGTTCTCCATCTTCCAGACCTGCGGGCACAGGGAGGGAATCTTGCCGGGAGTTCTGTCAGCCCTGAGGAAGGGCTTGTAAGATCTCAAATCCAGGGGAGGTTCTAGGTGTTCTGTGCTGGCACGCTGAGGTGTGACCCAAAAGTATGGTGAATGTTGAAATGTACAGATAAAAGGCCAGGCGCGGTGACCTATGCCTGAAATGCGAGCACTCAGGAGGCTGAGGCAGGAAGATCATTGTGAGTTCAAGGCCAGCCTGGGCTGCATAGTGAGCCTCTGTTTCAAAAAGCCAATCAATTAGCCGGGCGTGGTGGCGCACGCCTGTAATCCCAGCACTCGGGAGGCTGAGGCAGGAGGATCGCTGTGAGTTCGAGACCAGCCTGGGTTACATAGTGAGTTCCAGGTCAGTCTCAACTACACAGTGGGACCCTGTCTCAAAAAACAAAACAAAACAAAAAGCCAGTCAATCAACCAATCCAGTAAAAGACAGATTATTATTACTCCCCTTCACTTTGAACACATGAATCCCATTGTCCTCGCTACTCTCTGAAGCAGTTCTGCAAGGACTCTTTCGTGAGTGTCTTTTCACAGCCGTCTCTGTCCTGAATCAATTCGAAATATTGGAGGCGATTTCCATCAAATAAAACTTGACGGTGTCCTCCTCCACCTTATGCGCTGCATCTGCTGCCGTGGGACCTCTCTGGCTCTTCTCCAAGGTTAAAATGACCAGGAAACGTGAACGTTTGGAACCGATTCAGGATACAGAAGCATCCACAACAGCACAACACAAGACACTGAAGAAAGAGGACCCCAGAGCTCGGCAGAAAGTAGCAAGGACGATGGGGTGAGTGCGTCCAAAGGGAGGGAGAGGATTTGGGGCGATTCGTGGCGATGTGCCTTTTACCATAATTCATTTTTCATTTTATTTTATTGGGTTTTTTTGGTACCAGGGATTGAACTCAGAACCTGGTACTTGCAAGGCAGGCAGTGGACACTAAATCCCCAGTCCTATAATTCATTTTTAAAATATTTAATCATTCAGCCTGTTTCCCTTGCTGGGAAGCAGGACCCAGCATCCCCTGCCATCGCCACACTTGGGTGAGGTCAGCTTAGGGCTCATGCCTCTCTTCACAACTGCTTTCCCGCTCAGATTTTCAAACTTGGTCTTTTATGTTTTATGGTTTCACTGGGTTGTGTTAAGTGTGAAGTTGTTCGTTTTCTTTTTTTTGTGGGGGAACAGGGTCCTGCTATGTAGTCCAGGCTGGCCTTGAATTCATTATGTGGCCAAGACTGGCCTAGAACTCAAAGAGATCCTCTTGTCTCAGCCTCCCGAGTACTGGGATTACAGGTGTGCACCGCCTATAATTTTATTTGTAATATATTTATAAAAGATTCTCTTGCGTTAATATCAAACCTACAGATTGAAAAACATTTTTTTAAACCTACAGATTGATTCTTGAATTCCAGACTGACTTTGGATAACTGGACCCCCGACTGACTTCCCACCATGCAAAAAAATGTCCTCAGCATGCACGAGAAGATAGCCAGCCTCACTTCACACCAGCGAACAGACTCCGTGGGTTCTGCACTGCCTGGGTTTGCCAGTCTCTGCCACAGCACCGGTGTTGCTGTCACCCACAGTCACCCAGGCGGCTCTGCAGACTGGCACGTGGCAGACCCCACTGAGGCCCAGAGGAACCCGGGAGCCCTCTCAGTGCCCCCGCAGCCGGGCGGGCAAGGCTGGCAGGAATTACCTGCACATTGGAGATCTTGACGGAGTCGGCCAGCACGAACCAGCGCACGTTCTGGGTGCAGGGTGGGGTGGTGAGCGAGCCCTCGTAGCTGTAGTAGTGGAAGAGGTCCTGGGGCAGCATGTTCAGGACGGAGAGGCCGTGGAGCACCGTGCTCTGTCCTAACCGGGAGGACGGAGAGCGACGGTCACTGGGGGCGGCACACTAAGGCCACTGCTCTGGCCGCTTTCAGAAGGGGGCTCCCGGCCACGTCTGCTGCTGTACGGGTCACACAGCTCACAGCTCCTCTGGCTGTGCCCCACCAGAGCCGGTAGTGGCACTGGGAGAGGCGCGGGCTCCCGGCTCAGGCCCTTCAGACCCTCAGCAGCGCCACCCTCTCCCCACCCTGTCCTCATCTGCATGCGCACCCAGTCCCCTACGTCGTGTCCTACCTGCATGCTTGATGCTGGCCAGGTTGGAGATGAAGCTGCTGTAGTATGTATTTTCAGCATTCTCAGCCTGGAGGAGAAAGGAGGAGCAGTTAACCAGGTGGGGAAGACGCAGCTTTGTGCTTTCCTAGCAACCGGGCAGAGACGTACTTGCTAGTGGTTGGCAGTGAGGAGGCGGGGCCTGGACAGAAGAGGCGGGGCCTAGTCTGGTCATGGGGCGTGGCCTGGGCAAGGTTATGTCCCTCCAGGCTCCTCCCCTCTCCCGCTGCTTCCTGGGTGCCACGAGGTAAGCATCTCTGCTCCAACAGGCCCTTCCTGCCTTGAAGTCAGCAACTACGGACCGAACCCTCTAAAAACCATGAGCCAAGATAAACCTCTCCTGCAAGGTTGTGGTGGGTGTCTGGTATTTTGTACCAGCCATGAGAAAGTGACTAAGCCATGCTGAAAACTGCCCAGGGCACTTGTTTAGGGAAGTGTCATCAGAAGTCGGATGGCCTGTGACCAGGGCCCAGGGCTCAGAGGCCCCATGGCCAGAGCTCGCTCTCTCTCTCTTTGTTTTTTGTTTGTTTGTTTGTTTTGTTTGTTTGAGACAGGGTCTCATATATAGTTGCGACTGAACTGGAAATCACAATGTAGCCCAGGCTGGTCTCGAGCTCACAGCGATCCTCCTGCCTCAGCCTCCCGAGTGCTGGGATTACAGGTGTGCACCACCACGCCCGGCCTTTTTAAAAAAATTATAACCATCTTCATGAGTAAATGCTTTAATTTGTTATTTGTCTTGACCCATTTCCAGAGCATTGAAATGGTTGGGGGTTTTACTCTTGTTTTGTTTTTGGGTTTTGTGGTGTTGTGGAAATGGTTGTTTGATTTTTTGTTTGGTTTTGATATATATATATAATTTTACCCAGTTTAATACTTACTTTTTGGCAATTCAGTTACCCACCACTTCTAGCTTCCCTCAGGATGCCTTAGAAACAGAGCTGTTTTCTTTGTCTGGCTGGGTAGAGGTTTGCCCTGCCCTTCTGACCTGTCTGTGTTGGTCACCTCTCTGTGGTTCCCTCCCCTTACGGCATCTGTCCCCAAGGTTCACAGCCCAGAAGGGTCCATCTCCCAAGTCTCCCACCGAGTCGGCTTCCACGGACCGGGAGCCCAGGAAAGGACTGGAGAGACGCGGGGCAGACCCTGGTCTACACTGACTCTGCCCGGCCATGGGTCTACACCGCACCCAAAGCCCCGCCTACCTCCACGAAGGCGGCCAGCACCGCCAGGCCACCCGGGGCATCTTTGGCTACTTCGTAGCTCTCGTATTTGGCGTTGTAGTGAACCACGTGAATCTGCGGGAGCGAGGCAGGTACCTCGTCAGGGCAGCTCCGACCCCACACAGTTCCCAAGGAAGAAGAAAAGAGCAGGATGCCAGGCCTCAGACTTCCCGCACCCGCCCCTGCCACCTCGGCCTCTCTCCTCCAGCCGGAAAGCGCTCCCAGGACACTGGCTTGCCAGGGGCCCCGGGGCTCCCTAGGGGGCAGTGAGGATCACCCCGAGTTCAGGCCAGGCTGGGCCACAGACTGAGAACCTGCCTCAGGCACAGCGGAGGGAGTGGGCCGTGGGGTCTGCAGGGAAAGGGACCCGTGGGTCCCCACGCACCTCCATGGCCCGGCGCATCCCGTCAATGGTGTGCTCGGAGCCGCTGACCTCGAAGGACTCGCCGCCCCAGTGGTAGTGCATCTGCACGGCCCGGTACACGGTGCCGTCGGGGCCCGTCATGCGCATGCTGGAGGGCAGGCTGATCTGCACTGCGGGGACAGCGGGCACTCAGACCTGCCGGCCCCCGCGTTGCTCTCCGGCCCCTCCACGGCCACGCCCAGGGTGGCCAGGCCCTCAGAGGCCCAAGCAGGTGCAGCTGGTGGACCACGCTCTGAGGTGGGGTCGGGTCAATGTTCCAGCCCTGACCTGTGCACCCTGGACTCCGCCCCGCTGCCGCCCAACTGGCTGGGGGGGGCCCCTGCAGGCTCTGCATGTTCTGGGTGTGGACGGGAGGCTGACAGGTGAGGGGGGCCCAGCATAAAGCCACCCACTTCAGAAAACAAGGGCCCAGAGCCAGGCATGGTGATGAACCCCGGTAATCCCAGCACTTGGGAGGCTGAGGCAGGAGGACTGACACAAGATCAAGGCCAGCCTGGGCCACACAGTGAAACTGTGGCTCAACAAACAAAAGGACAGGTTAGCTCTAGACAGCGGTAAGAGAGACCCTGACAGTCCCATCCGCAGGGCAGGAGGTAACGATGAGCTTGTGGCTATGCTTTTGAAACGGGGAGGCCAAAATCTCTGCCCCAAAAATTCAACTTGCTGAACCTTTCAGATTCTGAAAATGGATTCAACTTCCCAAAGAGGTTGCTCGCCTTCACAGGGGATGAACTTAACCAATTTCTCTTGCAGCAGTCCACATCATCTGAGCATCGGCTGTGCTCAAGAAACAATCAGAGGGCCGGGGATTTAGCTTAGTGGTTCTGGTGCCTGTCTCACAAACACAAGGACCTGAGTTCAAACCCCATACAAAAAAAAAAAAAAGAAGAAGAAGAACAAGAACAATCAGAGGTAAGGAAGGGGAATAAAATAATCAAGATGTGTTGTGTACCTGTGCCTACACCCCACAGTGAATCCAGTCATTATGTATTGCAAACGTAGACTAAGAAAGACATATTTTTTAAAAATATTTTTGTTTTGAGACAGGGTCTCACTATGTATTTCAGGCTGGTCTTCAACTCACTGTGTAGCCCAAGCTGGCCTCAAACTCCTGAGATCCTCCTGCCTCAGCTTTCTTGAGTGCTGGGATGACAGGCATGCATCACCACACCCAGGTATAAATAAATTTTTTAAAAGACATGATCAGCCAAATATCAAAGCCACGAAGGCCAAGAACAGACTGAAAATCGGACCCACATGGAGGGAGACAGAACGACCATGGGGAAGAGTGACAGGGAACCCCGGTTTAGACAGAAAAAGGGCAGGGTAGGAAAGTGATACGAGGCCTCGAGGTCTCTAACCACACTGCAACCGTGTTAATTCCAGTGATAAAGGCTGTGGTTAGGAGAGAGTTAGAAGTGGGAGCAGGTGTGTGGGAACGCTCTGTATCACTTTCGCTGTTTTCCTAGCCTAAAACTGTTTCAAAATAAAAGTTAAAAAATCAGAGCCACAACCAGGCCCCAGCCTCCAAAGATCAAAAGCACCAGGGCAGTGGTGGCGAACCTATGACACCCTATGGCACTCATAGTTCTCTCCTTAGCTCTCGAGCTAAGCTGCCCCGGCAGCTTATGCTTGTGAGCGGCTTCTTTCTGCTTTGAATTCTGTCACATCTGACACAGGAAATAAACAGACGACCTGAGCACTGCACTCATTGCCGCCAGACCCACACAGGACGAGCCCCAGTTTCACAAATGGTCAGTGTGCACACAACAAACAGCAAAGATCACAGCTGCGCAGAAACACAGCAAATGCAGATTTTGCCTTTCAATAGAAAACTATCATCAAGAGCTCTGTTTTTGTGTTTTTCTTAAGGGACAAGATGTTAATGTAAAGTTGTTTTTTCTAAATTAAAACCTCAGTCTTCAGGTTTAATTGCAGTGTTGACATTTCCCGATGAGTAAGTGGGTTCTGGGTTGCAGTTTGGGTGCTCGTCTCTAAAAGGTTTGCCATCCCTGAGCCAGGGGGCAGCTCAGGGTAGAGCCCTTGCTGGTAGTCACAAGGGCCCTTGCACCCGTCCCAAAAATCAACTGCACATGGTCCACAGACCTAAATGCAAGACTGTTGATCTTGTGCGTGTGTGCGGTGCTGGTGTGGAATCCTGAGCTTCACACATGTCAGGCAAGTGCTCTACCCCGGGCTACCGCTGCCCTGCAGGGACATTTTAAATACACCACCAGAGGTACAATTCATTACGGGGGAGCTGGATTTTACTAAAGCTAATGAACAGACCCCTATCCAAAATGTCCAAAGAACGCCTAAAAATCAACAATAGGAAAACGAACAACCTGCTTTGAAAATGGACAGAAGACAGGACAGACCGCTCTGCCAAGGAGATACGAAGATGGCAAAGGAGCGCAAGAATCGGGAATTGGAGGCAGTGCCAACACCTGCGCCCCAGGAGGGAGAGGGAGGGACGGGGGGGCGCTCTGTGGTAGTGCGCATGCCCAGCACGGCCCCGGCCCGGCACTGCCCGGGAGGGGTCCCGTTGGTTGTTTGCAGAAGTCCGTGGTCGAAGCCGCGCACACCTGCAGCCTTTTGCCCCTGTGACTTTACTGTTTACCATTGTCACCCGCCCTGCCATGAGCAATCGCCTTTCTCAGTTGTGCAAGACGCACCTGTGTGTGGGCACACACAGGCCCCAGGACCAGGCGGGAGTGACGGCGCCTGGTGTCCCGGAAGGACGTGGCCGGACACCAGGTGGCCGGGGTTCGAGAGGCTGTCACCTGACCTTCCTGCCTCTGCCTCCCCCGCCGAGAAGCGCCCCCGCAGGGACCTGTGGGAGGCTCAGGGGAGGCCGCTAGAAAATCAGGGGGTGTTTTGCAAAAGTCAAGCACGAGTTTTATGGTTTCAGACTCAAGAGAGAAAGAGGGGCGCGGGGGGTGCTGGCTGCCGCCCTCGTGTCCTGCCCCTGGGTGCAGGAGGGGAACTCGAGGAGCTGCCGCAGGGACTCAGCGTGCAGCCGCCGCTTTCCGGCTCCTCGCTGCTGGCTGTGTCCCTGCGCGCGTCACCTCTAGGCGCCCCCTTACCCGTGTGGCCGTTGTTGGTCACGGGGAACTGGCCGGCCTCGTCGTCCCCGTAGCCCTCGAGGTCGAGCGCCCTGAGGGCCGAGTTGAAGCGCACCTTCCGCCTCTGCAGGTCGATGGGTGACTGCCGGTTGCCCCCGCACTCTGGGTACCCCCGTGGCCAGTGCTCCTCGTCCAGCTCCCCACCTGAGAAGGGGACAGTGGGCACGGATCAGGGGCAGCTCTGCGGGCCAGGTTTCGGGGGCTCTGGTGCTGTCCCAG